CCTCTGAGGTATGCTAGTCTCGCGAGTTTGTTTATAGGAGCAAAGGAAGCAAAGTTTCCTCACTTTAGCCAAGAGGAGACTGGTTTTTCTTTGCTAAAGTAAGGAAACTTTGCTTCCTTTGATCCTGTAAACGTTGGTTTTCACGAGACTCACCGGTGCATGCGCAGCACTGACCTCATACCTCATCAGCCCGGAGCTGCTTCCGTGTACAACTGTTGGCGCAAGCTACATTAAATTGATTATTATGTTTTGAATATGGATATTTTTCTTACAAAAATGCATCGATTCGCTACAGAAGGCCTTTGTTTACCCCCCGGTGCCGTGTGAGAAACTTTTTTATGGATGGACGCTTTTTATTTAACTTATTTTGGACTGATGCATGCAACTGAGCTGAGTGCCATGAAACAGCTTGAAAGATCAAAGACAATTTTTAATATAACTCCAACTGGATTCGTCTGAAAGAAGAAAGTCATATACACCTAGGATGACTTGAGGGTGTGTAATTTATGGACTAATTTTCATTTTTGGGTGAATTAACCCTTTAAGCTACAGCAGTATGCCCAATGACAATTAGTATACAGTCAAACATTGTAACTAGGGTTGGGAGCCATTGTTTTTATTTAGAATCATCCTTACAAAGAAGTATATATATATATTATTTTTTTACAGTGTAGCTTGTGATGTATCTCTTGTAAGTTTTGTATTGTAATTGCTGAACATATGCACACATATTTTTGGCAGTGGTCTATTGTCCTTGCCTTATTCAGCCACAGGATTTAAGTACATACACGCATTAAATGTTATCTTAGAATGCATACCATAAATTCAGATGCAAGTATGTATTTCATCTAAATGTTGATTTAGAACGTTACAAGTTGTGAAGGAATTCGGGAGAGGAAAAGAAAGTTTATTCTCTATCATCAGAACAAACAAAATACAACAGACTGTTCACATGAGCACATTTAAACTAAAGGATTTATACTTTCACTAATATGGTGTGCTATTCCACTTAAACTGTAAGCATCCCATGTACATTTCAAGTGTCTCTCAGTCTTTCTTAATCAATTACATCTATTGCTCATAATGTAAGGTGAGAGATTGGAACAAACACTAATCATGATTATTAAACTTTTTTCCTGATCTTTTAAAAACATTTTTACATGATCTTGTCTATCTATCCAACAGAACGTTTCAGGATCTTGCAAGGCAGATGGACTATGCCTACGGCACCGTTAGGGACTCAGCGGTGTATGATTACTTCAGAGCCAAAGGTACAAACCCACTGGAGCAGGACAGCACATATGCAGAGCTGTGGAGGACAATCAGCAAAAACAATGGACAGGACTTCTCAGTTTCTAGCCCTTCTGAAGGCATACGCAAGGTATGACCATTGCTCACCAATTTGCTATGTGATTTCAGAGATTTATGAAAACACATAGACATTTTGAGGACTGTGTTTTTGGTGTAATCCATTTTTTTTTTACATGATATTTTGGGATAATCCTTCAATCTTCACTAATCTGTTATTTGCGTCCACATTTTGTCTATTACAATTGTTGTAATTGTTCGGGTATCCCTCTGAAATTCAGAATCAGAAAAGTGTGTCAGCTCAGGAGAACAATGAAACAATGATTGTTTGGCAAGTCAGTTGCTATAATCAAATATTCAACATACAGCAGATGAATGTGACGTATCTTTTCCTCAAATTCTTGAATTCTCAATGACCATCACCAATGATGGTGATGCCAGAAGAAATGCCAAATGAATTCTTGAATATTTTGACCTCTGGACATTGAGTCATCAAAGAATGCACTGATCCAAAAGCATTAGACATTTTTTTTTAATAGGTGCGTCCCAGTTCGCATATACTTATGCACTATTCTATGCCATTTTGTAGTATAGAAGTGCAAGTAATGCGTTCACTGAAAATTCCAAAAAGAACGTGAAAAAAGTGAAAGTGAAGTCACGTGTGGCTAAGTATGGTGACCCATACTCGGAATCTGTGCTCTGCATTTAACCCATCCAAGTGCACACACCCAGTAGTGAACACACACAAACACCGTGAACACACACCCAGAGCAGTGGGCAGCCATTTTTTGCTGCAGCACCCGGGGAGCACTTGGGGGTTCGGTGCCTTGCTCAAGGGTCTCACCTCAGTCGGGGTATTGAGGGTAGAAGAAAGCGCTGGTTATTCACTCACCCCCACCGACAATTCCTGCCGGACCTGAGACACGAACCCGCAACCTTCGAGTTACAAGTCTGACTCTCTAACCATTAGGCCACGACTGCCGCAGTGACCCAGAACATGTGTACTGTAAATACCCGGATGATGCACTTAAATAACCGAAAAAAAAAAGAAAAAAAAAACACTTCATGCACTCAACTGTTGCAAGTTTAATTACATCTTAGAGTGGGAGGGACTATCAGACTCCAATTATGAATGCCAAAATAACCGTATAAAATTCATACACTGTACGGTTAAGTACATAGTGCATAAATGCATAGTTTATAAGTGCATAGTGTAGAGTACGTCATTTGGGACACAACTAATGAGCTTGTTTTAGAGGATGGGTGGCATGTCTGTAGGTGTGTACATTTTAGTGTCTTATCAGCCTGCATATGATTGAGGCACATGGTAAAGAGGGGATGTGTAGGACCCCTTACAAAATGAAGTATATTTAATTTAACTTATGAACTTAAAAGTTAATTTTATTAAGTAAAGTTCTAGTATATTTTCTAAACGTACTTTGTAGTAAGTATAATACCAATGTACTAGTAGTATACTTGTATATGTATTATTTTAGTACTACTTGGGACTAAATCTGCCCACTTTTTAGTTTATAAAAGTATACGTTTAAGTGTAATTTGTGTTACAGGAGTACATTTTGAGTACACTATTTGGTAACACTCTTCATGGTGTCCTGTTACATACGTTACATGTACTTACTATAGTAATAACAATAAAGTTAAAGGTGCAGTAGGAGATCTTGGAAAATGCGAACTTTAGCCTGATAGCACTGAAAGCGAACGTTCCACCCTCCCTGCAATCGCCGTCCAAAGCCACGCCCCTGAACGCATATACGCTCACAGACCAGAATACCAGCGACAACATTACTACTATAGGCTACATCAGCGGTTCCCAATTCCAGTCCTCGCACTGGATGTGAAGACGTATGTGTGTGAGTGTGATGTGTGTGAAGACGCTGCGCAGCGCAAATCCGTGAATGAATGTTCTGAAGTGAAGTAAAGCGAGGACTGGAATTGGGAACCGCTGGGCTACATTATGTGTCATTCACCGCCACCGGTGCGAAGACTGCGAAGTACTACAATACCAGGAAGGAAGATCGGGTTGTTGATGTTTGTCTGCCATTCTCGCTCTGTCTGCACAGCGTGCGTCAACGCGCTGATGACGTATCCTGTCTGCGTGAACAGGGTGCGCAGAGGTATGCTAATACATACGTTGACAGGCAGGTAGGAAAGCCAATTAAAACGCTCGGACCGAGCGTTTTGATTGGACGACCATTTCTTGGTCCTACGCCTTCCACAAAATATATGAATACAGATAAATACATTTAGACCACTTAACTTAATGATTGCTATCGTGATGTGAAGAGACTTTCAACCAGCATAACAAAAAATGTTTCTGAAGACAATCACCTATTGCATCTTTAACACTTTAGACTAGGGAACACATATTCACTATTAACTAAGAGTTTTCATTAATTAAACTCCTAATTTTCTGCTTATTCATAGTAAATAAGGTAGTTGTTGTTGTAGTAGTAGTTATTTTTAGGAATTGGGTAGGGGAAAGGGATCTTGAATATGGGCATGCAGAATAAGGCATTAATACGTGCTTTATAAGTACTAATAAACAGCCAATAAGTTAGTAATATGCATGCTAATAAGAAACTAGTTAATAGTGAATTGCATTCCCTAATCTAAAGTGTTACCACTATAAACTATGCAATTAATATGCAACTAACCCTAAATATTACACTTTTATTGTGACATTGTTACAGTGTAATTACACAAATAAGTTCTGAGTAATATTAATTAATTACATGTACATACTATAGGGTTAGGCTTAGGCTTACAGTAATTACTTGTAATTATGCGTATTTATTACTATAGTAAGTACATGTAACATATGTAACTGTCACCTAAAAATAAAGTGTTATCATATATTATTTGCACACTTTAAGACTGAAAAAAATAAATGGAGTATGTCCATTCATCATCCATTCTCCAAAACTCTTGTCCGCTTTAGGGTCACCGGAGAGCTGAAGCATATCTCAGCATGTTAGGAAACACCCTCCCCCATGTGAAAGGGGTTGCAGCTTGCTTCTGCACTGCAGCTACCCTCAGGTGGAAAGCCTGTCACGTGCATATCTCTGAAAAAACCACCCACTGTACCATATGGCGCTCCATGACATGATGCTGCCAGAGTGGCCCAAGCAGTCATGGTTTCCAGAAATGGGGGAGTATTTGTGAGTTCCACAATAGATGATACCACTGAGGACTTTCTCTCAGGTACAGGGTAAAATCTGAAATCCTAACAGCTGGAGCTGTGGAACCTGCATGTATGGCGGTTCAGCTGAGCCTGCCTTACACATGGTTGCCGTCACAATCAGTAAAAATATTTGAATTTTGCAAGCTAGTGCTGAAGGGGTATGAATAGGGGCATTTGTTGAAATGTTTGTTTTGAAATGGAATGTGAGTGTCAGTTGGAGCTCTGTCAATTCTGCATTTTACCAAATCATGCCTTTGTAGCTGGCTCGTCTGTGGGTAGGCATGACTTAATTTTATAAATTATTTCATCTGGAGTTCCGATCATATGCTTTCAGAGCTAGTTATGTTCCAAAGGTGCTATTCATGCTCTTTAGTGCTCAGATGGCTAGCATACAAGCATCTTTCCCCCATCATTTAGTCTGGCAGAAGAACAAACACTTCATGCATTATTTCTGGTGTAGACATTACACGTTTATGTGAAGCACACCACAGGTTCAGACTGTCAGAGAGTTTT